GTTCGTGTGTGTGTGTGTGTGTGTGTGTGTGTGTGTGTGTTTGCGTGTGTGTGTGTGTGTGTGTGTGTGTGTGTGTGTTTGCTTTTGTGTGTGTGTGTGTTTGCTTTTGTGTTTTTGTGTTTTTGTGTTTTTGTGTTTTTGGTGTTTTTGTGTTTTTGTGTGTGTGTGTGTGTGAGTGCGTGTGTGGCCACTTTCGAACTGCACGAGGGAGAATTGTTGCATCACGCAGGGGAGTGCGCACTCAACGAAGCTACCGCAGTCATGGGATACCGAGTCTGATCAACTCGGTGTACCTGCGCAGTGATATGTTACATCATGTATTATCTTCGCTGTATCTTGCTGGAACAATCGCTGTCGTCCACTAGCATTCGTCTAGTATCAGCCCCTTGGTCTGCATCCTATGTAACTTGGATTTGACGAAGACGACGGCGATCTCAGCCTTGAACAACCAATGTCCAATAGGCGGAGGGCCCAGTGGTGCACCGTCTTGATCCTTTCGGGGCAATGGAGGAAATAGATGAGGTTTACCTCCCGGTCGGCACTTACGTGCAAAGTATTAAAGATGATCGGCGAAAGCCAAAGCAGCCCCGGGCAAAGTACGGTGGTCACAAAGTACCCAATGTCCCCTGGATCTGTCGTTGTCGTTTCCTTTTCTTGTGTCTGTCGCGTGTTTTGTTCTTTGGGCTTCTCTCTTCCTTTCCGCTTCCTTTCTTTGCTGATTCCTCCTTCTTCGTTCTCTCACCTTCAGGTACCGGGACGGGAGGACGGGCAAGATGCCAGCAATTTGGGGTTTTTCCCTCGGCTAGGCTTCCGGGCCGACAGTATCTCGAGACAATGCGGCGATGCCCTTTCTCCTCCTCGCCGCGAAGAAGCCTGAGCCTCGGTGCCTTGGCTTGAGCCGTGGTGACTTTCCTTGAGCCGAAGCACGGCGTGAGTGAGCGGTAGACATAACTCGGCGAAATAGGCACGACCTTCTGGACCTTGGCTAAGCTCCCGCGGGACTCGCCTGAGCACACATTCCATGCGTGCAGCTGACATAGCCTTTGTGTGAATTTCAGCAAATTGGGTATGAGCCTCCGTGCCTTGGTTTGAGTTTGATGACTTTCTACGAGTCAATGCATGACACTTGCAGCAGATTTAGCCTTGTGTGAGCCTCAGCGAAGTAGCTATGACTATCGGTGTCTTGGTTCGCACTGCTTCCTATTTGCATTATCCGCCGCACTGCGGTGGTGTGTGTGTGTGGCCACTTTCGAACTGCACGAGGGAGAATTGTTGCATCACGCAGGGGAGTGCGGCATGACTGTGGGCCCGCACTCAACGAAGCTACCGCAGTCATGGGATACCGAGTCTGATCAACTCGGTGTACCTGCGCAGTGATATGTTACATCATGTATTATCTTCGCTGTATCTTGCTGGAACAATCGCTGTCGTCCACTAGCATTCGTCTAGTATCAGCCCCTTGGTCTGCATCTTATGTAACTTGGATTTGACGAAGACGGCGGCGATCTCAGCCTCGAACAACCAAAGAAAACTCCAGTGTGTCTGTGTGTGTGTGTGTGTGTTGGTTGTGTCTATGTGCGGCGGCGGGCAGGCGAGTGGGCGGGGCGGGAGGGCAGTTCAAAAACCAAAAGCTCAACACGAAGATGTGGGGAACAGATTCTTTGTGCTTTTTCTGACTAAATCTGTTGCTTGTTGATATTTTGATCAGGGCTGCCAGGCTTGTGGTGTCATGATTAGATTCCATGTAGACAAAGGAAGATGCAAGCCGAGCTGGGATGCTGATCCCTATACTCGTTAAAACCTTGCATGTCGAACACGGAAGCTACCGCAGGTATTGAGGATTCTTTTGGGTTCGGTTGTCAGCCCTAACAACAGCCAGACGAAAGTATGCAGCGGCCTGCTTCCCACTCCCTCGGCTATCCATACGTCACACGCATTCGGAGGTGCAACAGCTCCTGCGGAGAGCCGAGCTGCTGGAAGGTCTCTTCTACTGGCTCAAGAATTAACAGGCTTGAGGCTACCCGAAGCCCCTAAACCCTAAACCAAGCTGGCGCAGGCTGTTCGCATCTACTCAACCCTTCCATAGAGTTTGTATTGAGGCCCCCTTGGGACTAAGCACTCCACGCCCTTCCTTCCTTCCTTTCCTTCCTTCCTTCCTTAGACTGCTAAAGGGAGTTCGTTGGTAAACAACCCTAAAACCTCATTGGGTTAAGGGTTTGGGGCTGACGTTGCTTGTGAACATGCCCAACAAAATGCGGCATGGCCAAAGCCCCGCGTCCAACCTGTTTCAGAGTCTCGCGCCCGACACCCGGTGATGCAGGATGTGCTAAAGAGTTCATGAGCTCTACGCCTTTGGGCCAGCATTAAAATCATAAATCTTAAACGCTGACCCTCAGCCCCTCAGTTGCTTTGAGGGGAGTCTTCAGGTAATTATCGCGTTTAGGGTCGGTCTCCTGCTCCAGCCTCTCCGCAAACGCCCCCTCTGGCGCCTTGTTCAAGATCACCTGTACCAAGCCTGGCAGAGGCGGGTCTTGAGGCCTTAAACGTCAGACCCCCGAAACTCAAAGCCCCGCTTCGGGGCTTCGAGATTCGAAGCCAATGTCTGCCACGGTGGAGAGCTAGTTGACTTCGTGGCTGAATTTTAGGACCTTTCACCCCCCCCCCCCAAATCTCATAAACAGCCACTTTCGGTATCCGTGTTTCGTGCCTGCTTGGGGGTTTGTACTCTGGCGCATTCCAAACTATTCAGGTTTTGAAACAAGAGTATGACTACCCACTACGTCAAGAAATGGTGTGAGACGACGGTTCAAACTCTGCTCACTCCAGCACTTTGGTTCAATTGAAATTTTGCCCTATAAACCCCAAAACTCCAAAGCCCTAGCTTTGCCTTTCTCGGAATTGGCTCGCCCAAGAGTTGATTTGGAGTGTTGGAGTGCGCTTGAAGGCCACCCTCTGCCTCCGATCGTCATCCGCCTGAAAAGCATCTTCAGGCACTCCGTCTCGTTCGCCTGGGAAGTAAACTCGCTTGGCCCCTGAAGCCATCTGAACAAAAAACAATCCTACAGGTGAACCTCCTAAGCCCAACCAGGAGAACACAATGACTGACATCCCAATGAGGTTACCCAGTCAACTTGGGAGTGCTCGCGATGCATTCGCCGAGTGTGCCGGCACATGTAGAGAGAAAGCCACTGCCACATGGGGGCGAAAATAGGGACCCCCAGTATAAATCCCCAAATAGTAGGAGCCCCCCCCCAACTAAGGACCCCAATAAGGGACCCCTAATTTGGCAAACCCCCAAATGATCTGGGAGCATTTCTGTCCGCAGAGACTCTGGCTCTAAGACATGTCGGCATGTCTGAGGCCAGCTTAGTAGAGCCCAACAACCCTACACCCCCTAAACCCCCTAAACCCCTGCAAGCCCCAGTGGTCCTAAAGTCCTAAACCCTTCGAAAGGATACCAAGCACAACAAACCTTGCAGCGGTCAACAGCAAAACATGTGACCCTCGACCAAAAACCTCCAAGTATCCTAACAAACAGCCTGAGATGTCAGGCTGTTTGTTAGGGAGCTTTGGGTTCAGGGTTTGGGGTTGAGGGCTCAGGATTGAGGGTTTAAGGTGTTTAGGGCGTTTTTTGGTTGAGGGTTCAGGGCTTAGGGTTCAGTTCAGGCCACCCGGAGCACGCGAGTGCGGTAATTGACCACACTGCCGCGCAACACCTCCCAGGAATGTCATGGGTTGAGGGTTTGGGTTTAGGGTGTAGGGCCTTAGGGGGAATACCCTGCTTTTTTCTTTGCTTTAAAGCATGAACCTCGATCCCTGTAAACCCTGAACCCTTAAAAAGCTCTCAGACTGACCTGGCTCCTGCTTCCCTCTAAGTAGAAAGGTCTCTTTGCGAATGCGGCTTTCAGGGTGTCTCGTTTCGTGATCTCGGCGTTTAAGGTTTTAGGGCAGTCTTCGTGGTTTGAAGTTCCGCAATACCGAATACAGGCAAGGCAACACCGCAGCTTCATCTGATCTTTTGTGGGCAGAGACTTCATCCAGCAGACACACCTCTGACATCCAGTTTCGGGTTTATGGTTTACAGGCCTTAGGAACCATGGCTTCAATGAACAAAACGAGCGTCTCCACCATCAACAACGATGAGCCTCTAACAGAAGAGTTCCCAAACGGATATAGCCGGAGGCAGCCAACTTCACCTGGCACATGCTTGTCTGGTGAGCTTGCTTCCTCGCTTTTGTTGGGGTGTGGTGGTACAGAAGGGTCTGCTTTCTTTCCTCTCCCGAACCATCAAACCACAATACGGGTCGCGATTCCACTCCTCGAGGCGAATGTATGGCTTTAGGGTTTAGGGCCTGATCTTCACATGGCATTTGCAGCTTCCTCGCCCCGAATGAGGCCCGAGTCAAGCTCATGGAGGCTCGAAGCTCATAGAGGGGTGTCGCTGGGCTGGTAGATGAGCTCTACACAAATCATGCCAGACTTATGTACCCCCAAACCCTAAACCTTATGCCCTTCCCCCCCTACCTTCGGAAACCCATAGCTCCTGTAGCTATTTTTATAGGTTCAGGGTTTAGGGTTTTGAGTTTAGGTTAAGGGTTTGGCCCCCCCTCCCTCCCCCCACCAAAAAAAAGAAGAGAGTCCACACCCTCAAATGTCGGACTCCCCGGTTCGAAAGCAAGGGAAGCCAACCCCCAGAGCGCAGCACGATGCACTTGTTCTCTGAGCAGGTCAGCTCTCATGAGGCCCTCAAGCCTCAAGGCCTAAGTACTTCCAATTGCAATTTTCACGGTACTTATGGGCCCCCTAAGTCCCCTAAGCAGATCATAAGACGACGTGAAACTGAAAATTGAACCTCCAAGTAGAGACTCTAGTAAGCTCGAACCACCGCGAGCACCTTCAGCTCCAAAACCCTCAAACCCTACCCCATAACCCTAAGCACTAAACCTCTATCTAAACCCTGGAAAGCCCTTGTGCAGCTCAACGAGAGTGCGGACAAACAGGCGGGCGAATCTTCAAGATGCTCCAGGACAACCTGGTTGTCTTCATCTTATGGGATGTAGGGAGTTTAGGGGGTCTACTTGAAGGCTCATGGGCTTGAAAGTAATAACGGTTTGCGGGACCAGGGCAGGTTGGGCTCATCTGAGTTTTTATCTGAATTCTTGAAACACCAAACCCACCACCCCACCCCCCCCCTCCGCCCCCCCCCACCCCCCAACGGGCATGTTTTGGCTAGTTTTGTCAACAAGCAGACGGTGCAGGCCCCCTCCTAGCTGCATTGGGCCAGGCCGAGGCGGGTCGCGTAGCGTTAAGATTACCCTACTTGTAACCCTACTTATTAAAAAACCATGAACCTCCAAGTAGGCTTTACAGACGTTGTATAAGGCTTATGATGGAGGGTTTGGGGCTCCTTTTGCTTTCAGGATTTGAGTGGGTTTGGATGGTGTTATCTTTGCTGGGCCTCCCCGTAGGCAGGTTTTGACCGGGTTTTGGAGTTGGGCATTTCTTTTTGCTCGGCCTCCCCTATGCCTCTCGTCACATTTTTGGGCTCCAAACAAGTGTTTGGAGCTTCCCAGAGCCTTCTCGGACCGCCAGGTCCTCATCTTCAATTTACGTAAGCCGCCGTGTTGTGATCGCAGGTTCGACATGAACCACACCATTACTATGTATTTGCAGGAATTGTTCACCCTTATTTTTCTAACAGTCCTTTATAGGGATTATCATAGGGGGGTAGTAGAATCCCGATTGAGGACTGTTGGTATAAGGCGGAGCATCCCAATGTATTTTGTCTTGAGGGGTTTAGGGCGTCTAGGCTTCAAGGGTGGCTATTGCAAGAAGATTGGGATGTTCCGCTCTTCGTAACAAAAACATGAGCCCCTAATATCTCCCTAGCCAGAGACTGCTTGCTATAAGGGCCAGCGTGCAGGCTTCAAGAGGGCTAATAGTGGACTGGGTCTCCATTTACAAAGTTTTGGGGAGGGGAGGGAGCGGAGGGATCCTCACATGAGAAAAGCGTCCACAGTGAGCTCGGCCAGGGAAGCCTTGCGCATGCAGCTCCGCTGAAACCTCAGAGAAGCCAATCGCCCTTTGAAAGCCCACATCCCAGCTATACCCAATCAGTCGAGGTGTGCTATTTTTCTTAATATTAATATTATCATTGTTAATATTATTTGTTTCATTATTACTACTATTCCTCATAGTCATTATTGCCATTGCTATTTGTTTTACTACTGTTATTAAGGCTGCTGGGGCTAGGCCGGACAGTAGCTTTCGTTCCAGGCAACTTCGCCCTTGTTTCCCCCTTATGTTGCGCGAACCCCTCCCGTGCCCTGGCGCAGTTTTTTCGGCCCCCCCCAAAAGGAAGCAGGCTTTTGTGTTTGGCAGTGGGTTTGTGAGGAGGGTAGGGGGAGCAACAGAAGCATGCTAAGCCAAGATCCCTGGTCTTTCTTAGGGCAGTTACATGGTCCCTTAACATGGCCCCTTACACTTCTTTGAAGGGTTCTCACGTATGGGCCCTTGGGTTGTATAGGGTATACAAGGGGTGTACAAGGGGTCCCCTTTTCAGGGCTCATTGCAAGTCACATGAGCCCATCTGCCCTGTAAACCCCCCCCCCCCCCCTAGATCGGTGCTGTGACTGTGGTTGTGGAGTGGTCCAGCGTAGTCCCTGTCGATTTTGCAACTTCCCTAAACCCTAAACCCCCGTAGGCCCTAAACCCAGAAGCAGCAAGCAAGTCTGCTGACCCCAGACCCAACACTCAATACCCCACCCCCATGCTTTGCACCCCAATTCTAAAAAACCGCCTGATAAAGCCGACCTTCCTGATACAACCCAAACCAAAGGCACTTGCCACATCCACCAAATCAACCCTCCGAACCCTCGAAACACGATGCACCTCCCACAACAAATACAATAATCCAACACAGTCGCGAAGCCCCGCGAGGCGTCTGCCGACGCGTCCAAATCACAAAGCATCTGAACAATCCATAATGTTATCCACTCTATGTACCCCTAAGCCCCCAACCCCAAAACCCTGTCCAAGTTGCTGATCTGGAACAATGGGGCGGTAATTGTGGGGTAGGTGGCAGAAGCCTGGCAGGGATTTCAGCACACTACGACGCGGAGCGCCTAAGATTGAGCGGTAAAGGGTTTTGATACTCGTTCCTCGTAGGGATCTAGGAAAAAAACATGTATGTTCCCTATAACTGGGGGGAATGAAGGGTACCAGACGCTTATCTGGCTGGTTCTCAGCAGGGAGAGGTACCCTATGTAACCCCGTATAGGGCCCTAATTCTCCACTAAGAACCAGGGGGTTATCTAGGCTGCAGGGCTTATGACCCTAAGTTCGGGAATCTGAAGTATCATGCGTTGGGAGTTGGGTTTTGCGATTCGATTTGAGACTTGTTCCAAAACCTGACACCTGCATAGGGCTTCCAGGAGGTCGCATTCCTTTGAGGGCGCGGACGCGCCTTCACTTTGGTTTCTCCTTGTACTGCTTCAATGACGAGGGAATTAGGGAATCAGGCTCCCTGAATTACCCACTAAAGGTTTGACCTCTTCGATGTTACATGCTCTAGACTGTACAGTTTCACATGCGGACGCGTTGCAGCCAAAGCTACTAACAACTAAATGCAGTCGGCTTCCGCATCGAGTTGGTATTGCCGCACAAAAAGACTAGAAGCGGCTAATGAGAGAAACCCTAAACCCTAAATGAGAGTTCTTGCCATGCTTGCGGCACTCTTGAGGTTCCCTCTCTGCAGTTTCTGCATTCTCTGCAGGGGAGTCCCAGGCAAAATGGCCAGGAGGAGAAGATTAAGACCTCAACCAAGCCCTATAGACCCCAACGACCCTTGAGGTCCCTTAAGGCTTGTGTAGGATTGAGGCTAGAACCGTGCCTGGTGTCGGGGGTTTAGGGTAGAACCGTGCTGGTGTGGCCACAGTCGACGCCATTGCGACACTGACCAGCCAAGAAAAACCTAAGCTGCTCAAAAGCAAATGTCGGTTTGCAAGGATGTCTGGATCTGAACTACAGAGAGCCCGAGACCGTCTAAGATCAAACAACACTCCTTACTGACATTGAAGGTGGTTACAGGTGGATTGAAGGCTCTTGCCGTTGAGTTCCGGAAGTTCCACTTGAAAGCTGTCACAAGGGGCTCTCTGTCTCAAACATTGCCCAGAAGCATACATGGACGCCGGCATACCTGGCACGAGCTACTTACCTTACTCCCTCGATCGGTGTCGGGTGTAGTTGAGGGTTTAGGTTTGGGATTAGTGTTTCGGGCTTAGGGTTGCTGACGCGTAGGCGTCACGTTAGCTTGTTGATCTGGAAAGAGACGGAGCATGCCCAATTCAGAGCAGCCCATGTGCGACGCTGACTCTGTTGGGTTCACTACTCAAGGCATACCTAAATATGGCAGACCGAAATCCCAGAGGCCCTGAACCCATAGGCCCTCGTGACCCCCACTTCAACCCTATCAAGTTTTAGGAACCCTAAACACAAAACCCGAAGCCCTAAACCCTCAACGGAGCCTGCGGATGGGCAATCGAGCCAATGTTGAAAATGCGGCGGCGGGGTGCGACGGGAAGGACCACAACACCTGCAGTCGGCTTAGAAGCCCTAAACCCTAACGGGATTCAGGGTTGAAGTAAACCTTTGGGGCTCATGTTCGGGAGCTCTCAACCCTCTATACTTCCTACGCCCTGAAGCTTTGGAGATCCTAAGCCCCCCCCACCTGGAGGTTCATGGGTACTTATAACCCCAATTATAAGTCTACTTGTAACCTACTTAGAGGACTTAAAAAACTGAAAGCCTATAAGTGCAATGCTAATTGGGGGTATAAGTACCCTGATCCTCCGAGTATAGGGCCTGGAGGCCTAGAGTTCTGCGAGTGCCAAGACCGTAAAGCCTCCCTAAACCCTGATCCCTAGAACAGGATATAGGATTCAGGGCCGAAGGGCCCTGAAGTAATATGGGACACTTAAATTGTAAAATAGTGCTTTCAGGGTGATTATGGTATACTTATATGGGGACCAAAGGGAATAGTTGAAATTATTCCGACCCCTATAGTACCCCTAAACCCTAAAACCAAACCCTACAGTAAACCCTGAAGGCTTTAGAGGGTTTAGGGTTGGCTCTTCAGGTTTGGGGGGGGGGGGGGGGTGTCTCTGGAACTCGTTGTAAGGCTGACTTTGCTGAAATGCCGAGGGGACAGGGCGCGTAGGCTTGCAGAGCTAGCAGGGCTTGTAGGGCTAGCAGGGCTTGTCGGGTTTAGGCTTTGAGCTGTGGGGTCTCAGGTGAGGGTTGATGTGTTCGGCGTTGCAAAGGGCAGGGACATCAACGGCAACTCGAGGTTGTTTGCAGATTCCATGCTTCTTGGCCGTGTGAGGGTTTAGGGTTTAGGGTTCAAGTTCAGGGCTTTAGGGGTTACATGAAACCCATGCGGTAAGTCAACTACAACACACTCAAAACGATGCACCCACGCATAGAATTGTGCAGAATCGAAAACACGAGATATGTGCATGTATCCTTCCTGCTTCTGTATGCATATGTACACATATGGAGCACTTTCACTGCGCTGCCTCGAAGCGTCCACAGCTTCAGAACGAAACCCTGAACCGAAGACTTAAGCTCTAAAGCTTGAAACGGCTACGGTTGGTAGGCAAAACTCTTTGCCGCGTAGCAGCTAGTAGTTCTATAAACCCTGAACCAGTGCATCCCGAAGCAATCTATCCCATTCTGCCAATGCCCCAGAGCCTTGACAGCCCGAACAACAGACAGCCTGAAAGGCCTCGGTATAATTCACATTGCCCGAGCGCCCTGAGTGCAAAAAATGCAGTAGGCCCTGCGCGACCTGCTCCCTGTATATTCAACCCCACCCCCCCCCACCCCCCCAGTAAGCCCGAAAGCCACCAAACAATCCAGAACCTGCAGGGGGCGCTTGAGCTGCATCTTCTGGTACCTTCGCATTCTTTGCATGGGGACAGGTTTAGGGTTGAGGGTTTAGGGCCATAAGCGGCAATGGGTGCCCCATGCTCCCCAGCTGGCACTCTTGAGAACCCAGACTCCTGGGTTCGTGAGCCTGACCCGGGCCAGTTTACAACTCTAAACCCTTCAATCCCAAAGCCGCGCAGTCCCCAAGCCCAGACCACAAAACCCAAACCCGAGCGTTTAGAGCTTAGTTCAGGGATTCGGGGGTTTGGGCAAAACCCTAAACCCTAAACCCTAAACCTCTAAACCCTTTACGGCCTAGCAGGATGGCAAGAGCAACTTGACAGTGGTCGCCGGCGCCCCAACAAGAACAAAACCTTCAAACGCAGAGATGCCGCAGCTTTACAAGACTTGCAAAACCAACTTGGAACACATTCCAATGTGTGTAAGGTTGTCAACAAGACCTGGCACAGGGAATGTAGTCGCTTGGGTTTCCTCAGCCCTAAACCCCAAGCCCTACACAGGTGCTTGGCGCTTCCGGCCTTGGGTGGCTGGGCTAAAGCTTGACTTGGGTTAGGAGGAATCCATCGCAACCTTAAACCCGGAAGCCATTACGTCTTTGCCTTCTGTGTTGACCGACTTTCACCTGAATCCCCTGCGAAGCAGCACATTCAAACGCTGAAGTTACACTGGAGTACTTGCACCAGGTTTAGGGTTGAAGGGCCATAGTCTCACTCTTCAGCGCCTGCGCTCCACGCAGATCTGCTGCGGGTGGTGGAATATCCAACCCCGCGTCATCCTCGGTTGGGGCCTCCTGTTGGTCATGGACATGTCACGGACGGAGAAAACTGTTCCTGAATGCCTGGCCCATGGTATGAGAAAAGACAGCCTTCACTGTACTGAGCATGCAGTCTCTACAACATCTAGAGGCAATTCACAGCACAGTATAACGCGCCTACAACAACTGACCGAACTAGCCAGAAAGACTTGTGAGAACCAAAACCGCTTGATGAAGATCTTGGCTTGTGCTTGAGAGGCATGAACCGACATTCGGCACCGGCGCCTGCAAACGGGAGTCCTCAACCGGCATGCCCCATTCGTCTTCATCGTGTGAAGCTTGCTGATGATTAGCGACCTTTCCCAGATATGCGTGAACAATAGCCTGTACAATCTGCGAGCTATATGCACTCCATCCCATTGAGCATGCTCTTGAAGCATCCGTTTATGCCCCGAACTCGGATTGCTTCACAACAGCGCTCCCCAAGCAGATGTGTAAAGGATGCTTGTGGCAACGTCCGAAATGCAGTTTGTGCACATGTTACGCCATGCCTAGGAGGCCTAAACCCTGATGCGAGTACGTGACCAAAGCATTCTAGAAATAGGCATTTGCAGCAAGCCATTGAAATCCCACACATGATTCATGGCCACTGGCTGATGCTCACGCTGCTGGCTCCGAAACGGGATTGTAAAAAAAAAGTGAAATGACGAGGCCGGTTTCGCATGAACGGGTCGATGGTGGTGATCGTGTTTGCTGGCCCTGGGACTGGAGGTCAAAGGGAGGCTGATGTTGACGGCGAAATGGCCATGGCTGATGCTCATGATTCATCCGACTTGGAGGTTCATGGGTACTCCAGAGTGGGTCATAAGGTAACGATGGTCATAACCTTACTTGGGGTACTTCTATCCCTACTTTTAAGTACCCATGAACCTTCATCCTCGGGGTTTGAGCCGCTTGTCCAAAAAAAATTGGTATCGCGCCTCCCCCGTTTTTTCTATCAGCAGTCGTCAGCTTTGAGCTAAATCGGTCATGCTGTATAAACTTCCTTGCGCGTCATTTTGAGCGCAGCATGCGCGCACATGAGGGTGCTTGTGGCAACCAGGAAACCCACCAAGAACCAAGAAGGCACCGAAACCCTCAGCCCCAAGCTCTTTACAGTACCGTGACTCCGGCGCCTGCGCTCGCAGATCTGCTGCGGGTGGTGGAATATCCAACCCCGCGCCATCCTCGGTTGGGGCCTCCTGTTGGTCATGGACATGTCACGGACGGAGAAAACTGTTCCCGAATGCATGGCCCATGGTATGAGAAAAGACGAATACACCGGGTTTCGTGGTGCATCCAGCCTTCACTGTACTGAGCATGCACTGTCTACAGAATCTAGAGTCAATTCGCAGCGCAATGTGACGCGCCTACAAAACCGGCCCACAAGCCAGAAAGACGTGTGAGGACAAAACCGCTTGATGAGGATCGTGGCTTGTGCTTAGAGACATAAACCGACACTCGGCTTCGGCGCCAGCAAGGGGGAGTCCTCAACTGGCACGCGCCATTTGTGTTGATCGTGTGAAACTTGCTGATGGTTATCAACCTGGCACGAGATATGCGTGAACAAACGGTGGCACAGGTAGTCAGGTTTCTTGCCCCATGCTACCTGCACAATCTGGGGGTTGTTGGCGTTTGACGGACTTCGCAAGCCGATGCAACATGTGGCACGGTTCAGCAGAGCAACGCCCGGCCAGCACAAACAACCAACATGACTAGCAAGAAATAGAGCAGCTATAAGAGAGAGCAACAGACGAGTCATCCAAAGCTCTCAACCCTAAGCCCTATTCCCAGATTTCTGGTCGACAACATGACACCAGCCCCAATACAATCAATCCCTAAGGACCCCATGTACATGTGCCTGTATAGTCTATATTTGTGCCTTAAAGGGCTTCTACGCAGCAGCTTTAGGGCCAGGCACATGGACCCTTAGGAAATTCTGCACCTGCAACCACAGCTCCGTCGCGGGTCGTGGATCCGCGCCCGCATTGCTTCCGGCTGAAGCATTCAATCGGTCTCCGACCTTTCTACGGGGCAAAATATTTCGCGAGGACGGAAGACTATAACTTTCAGGAGAGACTTTTAAAGGTCACGTTCAGCCCGAAGCCAGCTGCATCGACTGAAAGGTCGCCGTTTTTGTAAAACCTCTACACCTGCACTTGAAGATGGGCGAGGGCTCTGAGTGCTCATCCTAAAACCTAAACCCCAAAAAGCCCGTCTCCCAGTGATGCAGCCACTTTAGGGCTTCGGCTTTTGGGGCCTACTAGCTTTACGGGCTTTGACACCTGAATCCCGAAGCCACGCTCCATCAATGACATTGCCATCGACCTCGCCATCATTCCATCCACCCACACGTCTCGCCTGTACAGCTGCGGGTCCGTTGTGGAGAGGGTGCAGCCGTTCAGTACAATCCCGTAGCATTCGGTGCCGTCAGACCATATTGCAGTGGTACCCAGAAAGCCCGCTACCCTTCAATGACAGAACTTGGGGTTTCCGGATTAGGGGACCCTAAAACAAACTCCAAATACTAGGATTCCCATATAATAGGGACCCCAATCAGGTCCGTATACACTGTTTAAGGATCCCAACAGGGATGAGCATTTTTCTGGGGCTTCCAACCCACCCCCGCAAGAGGATCCAAAACACCAACAACCCCAGCTCAACTCCGGGCGCTCACTGCTCGGCTGGGTATCAAGAGGGCCTCTTGGGGGAGAGATACCCTACAACCTAAACCCTAAACCCTAAACCCCGAACCCTGAACCCTAAACCCTCAACCCTGAACCCTAAACCCTAAGCCCTACACCCCAAACCCCAAGCTGCCCAGTGCCTGTGTTATTAACTCAAAGGCACAAGATCCTTGATCTTTTGCTCGAGGTTGGCTTCCAGTGCTTTGGCATCCTGTCGTCTGAGGTTTCTTGGGGTAGGTAAAATTAGGGTCCCAGGCTTACTTCATAGTGCTTCATTTTGCAAGGCTTCGGACGGTTTAGGGCGGTCCTCCTGGTTCTAGCATGGGAATGTCTGAATCCCAACTGCTAAGCTTGAACCCTGGACTCTCGAAAGCATCGTCTGGAAACAACATCGCCAGCACTTATCCGAAATGCAGCTTCTATCCATCTGCATCGAGTCACAAACAATCTTGCTCCACACTGCCCGGGGCAATTAGTAGGCCTGTAGGTCTGAAAAAGTTTTGTCTCAGCCGTTTTCGGCTTCTTGTTAGGGTGCCCGGGCCGGGGACAACATGAAACTCCTATAGGTTAATAGGGTTATACAGGGTTACACATGGAGTAGGCCCCATAGACCGAGCTCATTCCAAATCAACCCCCAAAGACGTGTAACGTGGGGCTTCCCAAATCCTAAGCCCTAAGCCCTAAGCCCTCAGCCCTGAGCCCTTAAGCCCTAAACCCCAAACCCCTTTAAGGTGCAGCAGGCTCCTGCACGTCGAGGTCTGTTTTGAACAGGTTCGGCATGCTCTTAGTCCGAGGTGCGCGCAGGGGCACCTCCTTCGCTGCTAGGGATGCAGGGTTCCCTAAACCCTAAACCCCAAATCTCAACACCTGGGTCTCCTCAGTCTCTCATCGGGTTTTGGGGTTTCAGGTCATCAACCCGCTGCAGTTCACAGGCTTGTTCGGATTTCAGTCTGAGCTTTCCGGGTTCAGGGTTTCCGGTTTCGGGTTTAGCCGTTTAGGGGTTCAGGGAGTATCTGGGGATCTCAGTCACCAGAGATTACGGGCACACTTCCGGAAGACGAGGTTCTATGCGAGGGATGGACCCTGGTTGGGTCCAGGTATATTTTTCACTTTTTGGTCTAGGGCTTCGGTTTAAGGCTCATGGAGACGCAGACCTGGAGACATAAACAACAATCAGTACTCCATGTAAAGCAGGTGCCTAAACCCGAAGCCCCCTTAAATTTGGGATGGATCTTTTGCCTGGAAGCTCACGAAGGTCTTGCTGTAAACTAGCTCCATGGCACTTGAGGCCAACTGCCGGAGACTGGAGAATGGTGGAAGGTAGACGCCTGAGCCGAAACGAGCTGCAGAAAGCCGTGAACCGCGCTGCTCACTGTGAGAACAACCCTATACAAGCCCTATACCAACCCAGTAAACCTGAAAAGTCCCTCTAAATCCGTTTACCCTCGACACCCGATCAACCCAGTACGTGCGTCTGCCCTCCGCGTGCTTGACCCCCCATCGTATCCCTCCCCTCCCCGCCTAAACCCACCACGAACGACAGGGGGGGGAGGGGTCAAACACTAAACTCTGAACCTAAACCCTCAGCATAACCTTGCACCCTCAAGCCTCAAACCAAAAAGGCTCAAACAACTAAAGCCTAAAGCCACAGCCTAAGCCCTAACCCTTAAACCCTAACTCCATCATAAACCGAAAACCATGAACCACACGGGGGGAGGGTAAAGCCAACCATGAACCAAAGGGGGGGAGGAAGGGGGAGAGGTACGTGAATGCTGGCGCACATAAAGCCTATAAAGCCCACAAACCCCTAACTTCTAAATGTGTTCAGGGCTGATAGGGTTGGGAGTTTCGGGTTGAGAGTTTAGGGTTTTCGGCTTTGGGGCCCCAGCAGCCGGCTGGGCCACGGGACATCCACAAGCGACAAAAGGCCCTGAATACCAGAATCTCAGCACCCCTTCCTTCCTCCCGAGGCCTGGAGAAGCCCCACAGCCACAGGTCTGAACATAACGAGTCTGCCCTAAACCCTGAACCCACATGAAGCTTGTTGGGTTTGGGAGCTGCGGGTTTGCCGATAGAGACCCTCGAAGTCCCCCCGGTATTAGGGTTTCGGGTTTAGGTTTGGCATCTTGCCGGGCACTTGGGCCGGCTCCGCCAGGCACCAGATGCTTAAAACCTTCATGAACCGAACATGTGGGGATGAAACCGTAAACCCTAAACTGGCCTACAAAGCCAAGACCATCATTTCCATTGTTCTGGCTTCAATACAGATTCTTTGGAAGTACACATTTCTTAGTATGCATCATTTACCCAAAGAAACAAACCAATCCATGTAGACATATAAAGCAACATCGTCATATGTAATTCATGTATCTTCTTCCTTGTGCGGCCTCCGTCAAAGCGCGCCGAGAACATGGCAACCCGGGCGCCTATGCCGTCGGGGATGGCGCCTTTGTTGGCCTCCACACCAAGGACTGCGGGGTCTGGTTCGCAAGCACTATATTAGCTTGAAGACTTACGCCAGATGCTAGTAGTCGTGGTGAAGACAACTATAGAGTCAAGTTGCATCATCAGCATCATCATAAGCAGAGTCAAAACTGACATGAGCAGCACTTAACACTGAAATCTGCTGAAGTACCCCCTCATCAAAAATGGCTGCGTCTTATTTTGGGGACTGTAGCTTCTAGGCCCATGAACTCTACGTTCCTGCGTTTCTGATAGGCCTTAAACCCTACACACGCCACACGCGCTAGGAGCCTGGAAGCCATATAACTAAGCCCTTTGAACCCTGTAAGCCCTATCAAACCCTGCAAGTACCAAGAAGCCTTAAACCCTATCAACCTGGTGATAAGCCTCATAAGCCCTACAAACCCTAAGGGTTGCAGGCTTTGTAACCAAGCAATACGCTTCAAGCAAGCCTCTTGCAAACAAGGCCACACCCTCTCCTAACAAAATCGGGACCTCTAAACCCTAAACCCTAAGCCCTGAACCCTAAATTGATCCCTTCGGGGAGGTATAAGGTAGCTAACTCCAGAATGAGGCGCATGTAAGCACTGTGAGCCCTATGAGCCATACGAGCCTCTGAGCCCTAAAACCAGGATCGCCCCCTCGAAGGTCCCACCGGCGTGAAAACGCCCGTGGGGGGCCGGCATTGTTTCTCGAGGTTGCCACTGCCGTTTGGGCGTTTAGGGCTTCACAGTCTTATAGGGTTTTAGGGTGGTTTAGGGCCTAGGGTTACAGTAGTTAGGGTTTTAGCACATACAGAGTGTCGGACCGTAGGCAGGTTTCAGGGTTTGGGCTGAAGGTTCCGACGCACCGACGGTGCAGCACAACTTAGCTATGTGCAAGCATTCGAACTGCCATCATCCTGTTGTTCTCTTGAGGCTATTACTTCTGACTTGCTGCGTTATTCTTGTACTTGGTTATCGATGTCGTCATTGTTCAGACCACTCGTGATCCAATGGCGTCGCTCGTCAAAATCCGAAGTGCGATTGGTAGAATTGTCCAAAGGCATATGTTGTGTATAGGGAATATCTCATATCAATATCACAGCTTGCTGAAGCTGCACAGGCAACCAGCGCGCGCCTAGAGCGGAATTGGAGACAAGCAAGTGTGCGACGCCACTAGTTTGCAGGCGCTCGAGTTTTGCAACGCATATCTCCATCCACTGGAGTGTGGCTTGCCACTGTTACTACGCCCTGACAGTGGTGGGATCATCCGACTCACACTCCACAATCTGCGACTGTGACATCGCGCAGCTTCACAGGCGCTGATGTCTGTTCAAGAATCGCAGAGTATAACAAGGAAAGGCCATTCCCGAGATATAACCTCGGTGGCTCTTTGAGGTAGCTCTTCCCTGAGCTGCGTGCAAAGACATCTACAGCACCTTTTGCATAGAGGCCTGCTCCTCTTCTCGCCGAAGCAAACTCGATGGCAAGCTGAAAAAACCATGATGGGCCGCCTGAAGAAAAAGCCTTTTCAAAACCCCGCAGTGCTGACATCCTGCATCGAACCACCAGTCATGTCGCAAGCTCCAGACTGCGGTGCTTCAGAAGCTCATCTGGAGGTTGTTCCAATTTTGGCATAGGAATTCAGGATCCAAGGTTTGGAGATTTTGGAGTTGGGTCAATTGGGTCAAGGCAGAGCCGGAACAACCCCCAGCCCCCCAAGCTCTTGTCATTGCGCAAGGATCAGGTCAGAAGTCAACATGACCTGGCATCAGCACACATGCCTTGTGGCAAATGAGACCTAGACCCCTCAAATCCTAAGCCCATTGCACTGAAGTCACCAAAGAAGGGCGCCCCGGAATCCTTTTCAAGCGACTTCTGCGGGGGGGGGGGTGGGGTTGGAGGGGGGCGAGTATGAAAAGAGCCAGCTCCACTCTCCTTGCAATGACTTGCACCGCGCAGCGCCTGCCAAGCATGTTCAGCTGTCCTAGAGAGATTTGCTATACCCTTCCAAAAAGCATAGCTTGCGGTACCCATCTGACCGCACCCAGTTAACCACTTCAGAGCACAAGAGATGCGATTAGGTCCCTGTGAGCTTAGGAGGAGCAAAACAAAGGGCCTCATGATCGGAACAAGCTGATTCTGCAAGTGCGTCACATTGCAACTCCTTTCATGCATGCGAAGTATTAAATGATGTCCTTGAGGACAGGAACACCGTCCACCTCAGTGCCGCCAGCGTGCATTCAGGGCACCAAAGATTTGGGAAGGCAGTCTTGCCGGACAAGGCAAGCTGACAATTGACACCGTTTCTTTGCTTGAGAGGGTGATGCGAAGTGCTGAGATGCATATGAGGCAAGTCTCGGTCTGACTGAAGCAAGCAATGCACATTGCTTGCATGGAGAGAGTATGGGCTTTGAGATGGCCTTTGTCGCGTTGGCTCATGTTTGCTTGCGATCTGCCGCTGGAGACTCAACATGCTGCAAAACAACAAACACAAGCCGACAAAAACAGTCAACAAAGCCAGCACAGGCGCGGAGCAATGACCGAATTGCCATCGTTCTGAAATGGCAGTGCACGACTGGTCTTTACTTGCCCCGCCCATGCCTCGAGAGTCCTATGGCAAAGGCTGCATAGGTCCTGAGTCCTGGCTGCATCGAGGTTTCAGGGCAAAGACACCCTAAATCTGACATCCTATGCTGCAAACCCTCAAAGAAGCTTGCAAGCTTGGAGTTTGGGAACCTAGAAATGCTTCTGAGTATCACTTGACGCTCATGGGCTGTCCAAGTCCTCTTGCGCCAACACGCATGGCTCCTCAGCGGCCTGCAAGCTCAGGCATCCAAGAATCTAAGGTTCAAGGCTTGGGCTGCAAAACAAAACAAGCTCCTCCCTCCGTCTCCGGATCCTGCTCAACACATTGCATTGAAGGCAAATGTGAAGACGTGTGGAGGTTTTGTTCAGCTGGCGCTGCATGACATGCACCGGCAATCTTCACTGAAGTGCAGTGAGCAGTGAGGGCAAGATAATTCAAGCAAACTCAGCTTTCTGAGTAATGGTGGGCAATGATGGGTATTAGTGAGTAATGGTGGGTAATGGTGGGTATTGGTAGGTACTGGTGGGTAATGGTTGGTAATGGCGGGGCATGGTGGTACGAGGTACAGTGTACTAGTGAGAATGGAGTAATGGTGGAACTGGCGGGTAATACTGCGTAATGGTGAGTACTGGTCGGTGATGGTGGGTAATGGTCGGTAACCAGGGAATGTGGGAATGGTGGGCGTGGGAATGGTGGGCGTGGGAATGGTGGGGAACGGTGCTAAATGGTGGGTGATGGTGGGTATGGTGGGGAATGGTGGGAATGCCGGGTAGTAGAAGACATAATGCTGGATCATGTAGGCAATGGTGGGAAATTAAATGTGGTTTTTACACGAAATCGCTTCTCGGAGGCTTCCGGGAGCTCTGGGCCTTCCTTGTCGTACATGTTTAATACGCCCGGACGCCTCCCGCAACAAACGGGCCCCCGATTTGTTACGCCATGTTTTAGTCTTGAGCTGCGGCGGCGTCGTGAACTAAGGAGACAACAACAAAACTCGGGACCCCGATTTGTACGCCATGTTTTTGGTTTTGGGCGGCGATGCCATGAACAAAGGACAAACAACAATCGGCGCAACAAAACGGGGCCCCGATTTGTTACGCATGTTTTGGTTTTGGGCGGCGGCGGCGGCGGTGTCGCGAACAATGGAGACAACAAAAACTGGACGTAACAAAACGGGGCCTCAATCTGTTACGCCATGATTTTTGTTTTGGGCAGCGATGTCATGAACAAAGGACAACAAAAACCATGTTGCTGCAGTTGGTTTGCTTGTTTGCTTTACTTACTGGTGTGTATTCACTTACTTGCTTAGTGGTGCATCTTCGCCTACTATATGATCTATCTGCAGTTGTTTTGCTTATTGGGGCATCTTCGCTTACTATGTGCGGTTGTTCTGCTTTGTGGCGCGTCTTGGCTTTATATACGCTTCTTCTTGGAGTTAATTTGTAAAGTGGTGAATGAAGTGAACGAGTGCAGAAATGAACGAAACGGACGCATTCGCTTATTCATTATCAACGGGGGCTAATAATTACTCGTATTGAGAGAATAATAACGCCCCCGCACAATAATATTCTTTTCACTCACGGCATTTATTCTGATTGTACTTCGAATATCGGCTCACTCGTTCACTCACTTCATACACGTAATTCATGCGCACAATACGCTTACAATGTACGTGCATTCCATTTGCTTCACTCTTAGTTACCACACCATGACAGCACATTTCTACTTATTATTCATTTCTTGTGGCGCGTCTTCGCTTACTATGTGCAGTTGCTTTAACTGGTTGGTGATGCTGGATTATGGTGGGCAATGGTGGGTAACGCTGGGTATTGGTGGGTACCTGTATTGATGGGTATTGATGGGGAATTGTGTGCAACGAGGGGGAATGGTGGCAATGGTGGGGAATGGTGAGTCATGGTGGGTGGTGGGTAAGGGTGGGAGTCATGGGCTGGTGGTGATGGTGGGTGCTGGTGGGTAGTGGTTGCTGATGTCGGGCATGGTGGTAAGAATGGTGTAATAGATGGTAGTGGAACTGTAGACACATATCTACCGAAACCGTCTCCCGTCTGCCATAGCCTGAGCTACGACTTGAATTTGGTCTAAGCATGTTTTTCTAGCAGGGCACTTGGAAAAGGAAAGCTGCCTATCGAGTTTCGACGCACGGCCCCCTTTTCAGTTCTCAGAGGAAGGGCTAGCCTGGACGCTCGAAATGCCAACAATTCCACTGTTCTGATCTCTTACGTCAACCACTGCGGCTGCTTACACAATTTCGGTATACTCTCCTGCGAACTGCAAATTGAATGAACGTCTACGCCCACGTCCACGTCTATGTCTATGAAAGCATTGCAACAGGGCAAACAGTGCCTGGCTGGAGGATCTGCATCGCTGTCCTGCTGGTGATCAACGGGCTTGGACAAAGGGCGGGAAAGCAAACACTTTGAGGGCCATCAACTAGAGAAATGTCAGGTCAGATGTCGAATTCCACACCACGTCAAACAAAGTTTGGCAGCTCAACTGCGAGACTGCTGGGCTGAATAAACTTCCTGTGTCACCCTGCCAAACTCTAGAATTGGCCTGCTCTGCCAAAAGCCCAGAAAAGCAAAGGGAAGCGATTCTTCTCCCTGGCAAGGAGCCTGCTACCATCGCTTGGTACCATGCCAACCGGAGGGCACCTCGGAAATGCAACCCTTAACCCTATATAGATCCAAAACTGCGTGGCATGACTGTGGCATGCTGCTCATTTAGACCAGTCAGTGCTTCTAAAAACTCGAGCTTCTGGATTCTGTACGGGGTCTGGAGAATCACCTATCTATCCCCACATGAGAACAGCCCCACTTGAGGCTTTAGATATATAGAGCCTAGGGGAGGTGATTCCTCGAGCACTTGATCGAGGCTGCCGCACCAACAGCAGGCATCCTCTGGCGGCGGGCCCTGCAGCACAGTGCTCAGATGCTGGGCATCTCTCCAGCGCTTTTTCTTATCACCCAATCAAGGACAACTAGTCCCAGTGAATGGACAGGCATCCTGAAAACATGGAATCTTGCTTCTGATCTCCCGTACCCTTCTCAAATTACGACACATCTGGCATCGCATCGATGTTGGGGTGAGGGTGGTCCGTCTCCAAAAGGGCTTAGGTTTAGGATGGCAGAAAAGGTAGCGACAGTGCTAGCAAGAGGGGCTCGGAGCATCACAGGCAAACTCACCCTGAAGGTCATACTGATCAATGCAACACAAGCCTCCCCAGGGGCACGGCAATTGACTTTTGCCTGGCAAGCGGGCTGCTGCCAAGGAAAGTCCACTGAGCATTTCTGCAAATTCACAAAAAAATGAAACCATTCAACTGGGCAGCTGTGTAATCTCAACTGGGCGTCCTAAACCTTCGAGGGCGTCTCACGTGCGATTGGCCGTTCGCATCCGTAGAGGATCTTTAGAGGGCCGTTCGTCTGCCCTGAGCATCCGGATCATGGAAAGCAGATCATTCAGGACGGACACCGTTAACGTATCCCAAGGTGGAAGATGGTAGAACTGCCAGGGCTGCGATTAGAGTGGCTCCAGACAGATAGGCTGTTTAGGCTGCGAAATGGAAGTTTTGGTGAACAGTGGTGCCTTAACTTTAGCTCAGATTGGATAAAAGCATGGCAACCATGGAAACCCCAAATATGCAGAAATTGCCACCTACACAACCCATCAGCCATCTGAGTACCTCACCTCTGCCGGCATCGGAAACAGGTGATCTGGCCTGCAGCAATTCCATTTCTTGGCGTGCTCAAAAGAATCACTTCCACAACCGTCTACTCAGGGGTTTTGCCGTTTTGGTCCCACTGTGCCACAGGTGTCTTGGGTGCTCCATGGGGCCCTGTTACAAACGCTCTCCAGCGACTGGTGCTGCCGCCTCCTGACATTGCCATGACTCAGTCCGAACAAAAGTCCTCTAGCTCAGTTCCAGGCGCTACCACTGCAGCCTCAGGTGCACTCTAGCGGTTGCGTGGGAAATCTTCCAAACACGATCTGAAAGTCAGGAACCCATGCCATGCACCACATCTTGTTTCCCCCGGACCCGAAACAGTAGTCTTAAAAGAACAATGTCATCGTACATATCCCCCAGATACTATGACGATAACCCTTGTTAAAAACACCCCAAAGGGCACCCCATCAAATCCCCTCAATCCTTATTATAAAGCGTTGAATCTGAGGCACATACCATGTGTTCCAATCCAACTTCACCTCATCAGACCACTTTCTGCTGGCGTCGGGTCTAAGACACTAGCCCAAAACAGACCCAGCAATCCCCAACATACCATCTGGAGATTCTTTTGCTAACCAGAATCTGCCTCCAGCAACGGTCATCGCCGCCTGCAGCTGCAAGAATGGCTTGCGAGATGTCGCATCATACTCTCGCTTTGGACACTATAAAGCATGATGTGGAAAATTCAGCTGCGTAACGCTTTTAGATTCACCGCCACCCACTAATAGTAATTCTCCAGGACAATGGTAATTGTATTAAGGGGGTCCATCAAAACAATATCAGAGATCGACGACACTTTGGAACGAGCCAAGCAAACAGTCAATACCTGCACGCAACCCTCGACAAGCTCCACCTGTAGGCAGCGAACAAGGCTACAGTGGCTACAGGAAGGCCTCCAGCAATGCTTTGACATCGTTGCAATCCGCGCCGGCCTGGCCACCAAGCATTTGGCAGTTTTCCACACATGGCGGAGCCCCTCATATGCCCCGATATATGCTCTTTCTTACAGGAAACCCAAAAGAAAACACCCTCACTTGTCAGCTGTAGAATGGTGCGCTCGAAAGCATGTGGACGCCATGGGCCAACCCCAAGTCCCGAGCTGGCCTCTACAAGGGCATAGAAAGCGCCTCCGAGAATTGCGGCTGGGAAAAAGCTTCTCAGTTCGTCTTTGCGAAAAGATCCTTTGACCGGCCGTTGGTATCATGTAACATTCGGAATTCACACTCTGCCTGCACAAAGCTGGGAGATTCAACATCGCCAAGCTTGCGGAGTGGTGTCAGCGGGTATGTCTTTGAAAGAAGTTTACTTGCGCTATGGCTTCAGGCAGGCATGCTGCTTCAAGGGCAGGTTCGTCGGACGAACCCTAGACCCTTGCAAGGGACGACAGTGAAGTTTCAAATGAGGGGGCAACTTGTAAGGCGCATTGCGCATAGCGGCTGCACTTGCCAAAGCCAACAACTTCAGGTTGTAGATCCAATATAGTTCCAACATGCATGTGTGTCAAAAAGTTTGCTCCTACATCCATGGTCTAGGTGTTGTGACCCTGACCTGAGCGTGGCGTGGGTGGGCTGGGTGGCTGTTGGCCAATCGGCCAACCGCCTGTGTTGGCAGAGCTCTCTGAGCAACCTCTTTCATTCTGGCCCGTGTTGCGTGGACGGCAATCCAAGCAGACACGCCGTGTTGTGCGACGTCCCCCTGCTTGAAACCAAGGGACCGCCGTCAGAGCCAATGAGAGGGAAATCTGGATGCATATGAAACCTTTCTCTTCAGCGGAGGTTTCTGTTTCTTGCCGCGAGTGCACAATCGAGAGCTCAGTTCTGCAAGCTTGGCAGGGCCGGACCGAGCCTTCCAACTCACCGCCCGTACTTCTTGAGGAGCGCGACAGCATGGCGTCAACGGCAGCCTCAACGCTGCCATGGCGCCTGGCAACGGTGCTTGATGGGAAAACATGCCCTGCACATCGATGGAGTTTGTGTCCGAACTAGGGCGACATGCACATTTGACTAAGACATCAATCAAAACCGGTTTGCAGGACTCTAGTGGCTGCACCTCCGACCCACAGTTTTGCTGCTACTCACACTACAATCACTACAACCTATGCTATTTCGGGGGAAGAAGGCTCCAAGCTTGCTTTAGCTCCGTCGCCTGAAGAATCCCAAGCACATAGGAGAATTGTTTGTAGCAAATAAGCACCGCTGGTTCCTGCACAGGGCCCAGCGAATGCGTGCCAGCAGGGCCTCGCACCAAGGATCACAAAGGATCTGCAACAAGCCTTCAAGTTGATGAACAAAACCGGGCTGCCTCTAACTCTTGCGCCATGCTGTGGACGTGACGCACTTTGATCTTTATGCAGCAATCCCCTCAACTTGAAACTGAAATTTACGCGTAGATGCACTTGGCAGGAGGGACGAGGAGGGAGTGTATCTGCATTTGTGCCATGCTACTGCTACACTTGTATCTGTCTCACTCTCACCTGAAGGTGTGGCATTGGCTGGCAAGCCGAAATGCTGAGTGCGCGAATACAAGCCGGCGCGTGTGCGCAGCCATGAGCCATAGCAGACTGCTGGATATAGAAACACGCAGCACGTCACCCCAGGTCTTTTTACACAAGGAATTCAATCTGCCGCGGGAGGACGCAGAAGGTGTAGAGAAATCGCCTCATCTTCGTTCAATGAAGTTCCAAGAACTAGGAGTCTCGAGCGGGTACTTCATGAAGGGTCAGTCTTTTGTGGTCGCGGCTCAACCGGAGAGTGAATGACGTCTCAGAGTCTCAGAGCCGGGGCACGCTTGCTGCACAAGTCCCTGCAGGCAAGGACAGCCGCTTCGGCGACGTTCCTGCGCCACGCGGAGCCAGTAAAGCCACAGTAAAGCCATGATATGACAGCGCACTTCCCAACCTCAGCGAGACGTCGCGTGAATTCCCGTTCCGCTGCTTGCTCCTCGTGCTGACGAGGCTGCGCGAATGCAAGATAATGCAATGCAAGTCTACAAGTGTATAGGTGCCTGCTCCAAGTTCTCACACATGGCCTGTGTGAGGATTGGTGCCTGCCGGCGGTACAACGATGCACAACTCCGCCAACCCAAGCTCTGCAACCCTCTGAGTGAGCGGCCCCCAAGCGAAGCCTTGCACCCACCCTCGTGCCAGACAACCGTTTCCTCAACTCCTCAAGTCAGGACGCAACGCAGGTTTCAAGTGGCTGCACAGCCACCAGTACCTGCCTCCGCCATCAAGTCAAACTCTGGCCTCAAAAGGCCATGCGCAGCACGGGGCATCTGCAGCAATGCGGACTGAAAGGCAAGGCGCGTCCCAGGCACGGGTGTCGGCCGGGTAGGAACCTGGAGCCATCTAACAGCAGCCGATTACCAAAAAGTGAGTGCCTGTACCCCCCCCCCCCTATCAAAGGCACTTCTGCTCACGGGCAAGGAGCATCGGGGTTGGGTGGCGCCTCCTCATCCATCATGCTGGGGCTGCTCTCCGAAGATGGCCTCACTGCTCTGATACACACGAAAAACATGCGTCTCAGTTGCGACTCCAGGTGTTGCGGGTCTGCTTTGCGCATGCAGATAGAGGAGGGCCCGCGCGGCCGATCTGTATGTTCCAACCCTTTGAAACAAAGTACGTCTGCTCGTGCTGGCAAATAGCGTAGTCTTGGCTGTGGTCGGGGTCAAAGGCTCCACCTCTCGAAGAATGCAAAGGTCGGAAGGATTTCGGACCCTTTTTGAGGCATTTGCAAGGACTCCTCACGCATACTCGCACACGCACACTCCACTTAAATCCAATTCAACCATGACATGTTTTCAATAACCCATGCCTTCCAAAAACAAATGGGAACCTTCTCCAGCATCTCTTCTGCAGGCGCCACCGTTGAACCTGGCGCAGCAAGCATGACCGCTCCTCCCCGCCGCCCGCCCCCCCCCCACCCGCCAGGGGCTGCGTCTGGCCTTGAACTTGGCGTGGCTCACACGGCCTGCGCTCGATGACTCGCCTATGTGCTTCGGAAAACAAGCTGCAAGCCTCGGCAGCGCTTTGGCACAAGCTCCAGAGGCCTAAGCCCAGCTGCAACATAACGGAAATCAGAAGGCCCAATACATTTGGCCCCTGACCATCCCTACCGTCGAGGGCAGAGCCTGAGCCATCTGTCGCTCCGCGTTTGGTACCAATGGCAAGCGGCGTTGCTGCAGGCACGTGGAAAGAATGTTGCGCTGGGGTCTGGGCAGGACGCCGCGTCCATTGCCCCACCGGCTGCGCGTAGGCGCAAACTTAGCAGGATTGAGGATACCGACTCTTGCGCCAGTGCCCAAGCCCCCAGCGCACATCCCTACTCTTGGAGTTTGATGGATTGGACGGCAGGATCTGCTGAGTCAGACAGAACCCCTTGCCATAGCAAGCTTCCAGAGAAACATCCCGTCTGCTGGCCTTGAGCTTGTCGTGGCTCGCAAGCTGCGGGCCTCAGCAGCGCTCCTGCACCAGCTCCAGCGGCCTTAGCCCAGCTGCAACAGGACGGAAAATAAGGGCTCAGTACTACTACTGACAGCGAACATTTGGGAACTGACCAATTTCGCCGTCGAAGGCAGAGCCTGAGCCAAGCCAGCGCAAGCCATCAATGCGCATTCTTTCTGATGCTCCCCGTTTGGTACCAATGGCAAGCGGCGTTGCCGCGGGCATGTGGAAAGAATGCTGTGCTGGGGTCTGCGCAGGACGCCGCGTGCATTGCCCCAGCGGCTGCGCGTAGGCGTAAACTTAGCCGACTTCTGTCTCATTGCACAAGCTCAAAGTGTCGGCACGCAGGACCTGCTGCGATGCCCGTAAACATATGACTTTGTAGCTGTCAGAATGCCGTCGAGCGGCCAGAGGTCGCCTCAAGCAGATTCACGGATCACAAAACTCTGAAGCGGGAACAGCGGGAACCCTCCAGGAGCTGGACGCTGACCACCAAAGGAGCCTTCTGAACTGGGCTTGGCAGCCTGGTAAACAGTGCAGGCCAGAGGAAGTCCTTCACAAGATTGAAAGTCGAAGTGCTCCATTGCGAACTGCACCTGCCTTTGCTGCCGCAGCTGGGAGGCTCCGAACGATGAGACACACATGTCAACTTTGACCAAGCAACGGTGGCAAGCGGTATGAAGATTCGAAAACAGATTCGAGTGTGTTCCTGGAAGGCTATGTGAACTGCATACAATGGGCCACCAGATGCTGCAAGTCGAAGTCAAGACTGCAGGAGCTGTTGCAGGAGCCAAAATCAAGGGCGTGAATCGGTTACTGCTGGTCGGAAGCCTAGCCGTCAAAGCGAGGGAGGCTGCCGAACAAAAAAAAAAGTAGCCCCCAAGCCAAGGCGTGGCATGTTTTGTCACGTGGAGGATGGTAGTCGAGCGCTTCTTACGCTTTTCGGCCGTCGTTCCAGCAAGCTGTCAGCGCACCTGGCGGTTTTCATTGGTAGGTCAGGTGGGCTCGTGTGCATGACATATATGTTTATGATCCAACGCGAGGATGCTTGTTCGGGTCTCGCTGGCTAATCTGCTCGCTCAACTGCAGCAGCTGCAAGGTGAACGGCGCCCTTTCTTTCTCTCTCCGGCCTTTGGCCGCGAGAGGACGAAATATACTACGAGTATGCCTTTATGCTCAACACAACCTGCTCAAGTCGCTGTGCAAGCAACCGTCGGAATCGACAACGTTCAGCGGCTCAAATCGTCCCATGGGGAAGCTATCCTAAAACCGTGTGATGCACGCCCTTGGCAATACGTGAACGGGCAGGTTTGTTGACCAATTTTTGGCTGTCCTTGTAAGGGGAGGTTTTCTGCCTCTAGCCTATACCCTAAACCCGAAACCCTTAAACCCTAAACCCTTAAACCCTAAACCTAAACCCCCCCAAAAAAGAAATCAAACCCTAAAACCTAAAATTCAGGAAGTGGGACAGGTGACCAAGAGCATGAGGTGATTCTGGGAGCGGAGATGTGTTGTAAGCTTGAGCACTGAATAGCAGTGGAACAATACAAACCAGCTCAATGGATCTTTTAGAGGCTTCGGCATGCCATTGAAACTCTTGGCCCCCGAAAAGTCGGAGGGTCGTTTAGGGCCGGCTAGGCTCAGGTAAGCGTAATTCAACAGGTGCAGAGACGACAGTGTGCTAAAGGGAACAGAAAGTTAGCCACGCGGGCTCACGGGTGTAGTACCTGCGTGCTCAGCTTCGAAGCATCTGTCGAACACACAGATGAGCCAGTTTTTTAGTTTACAAACATCTGAGAAGTATCTTTCAACAAGGTTCCATTCCGTAAGACACACTCGGAGTCAGCTCTAAGGCTTTGAGGCTCTCTTGGCTCCCAATCCTCGGATCCCGATCCCCCTTTGCGCCGTCTCCGGCAACGCTGTAGTTCTCGAGCCCCGGCTGTGGCTGCTGCGGCTCTTTCTCCGTGATTGCAGGACTGAGAGCAGACAAGACCTACAGAGTTGCAGGGCGCCTTCGTGTGTACTTTGATTTATTTGTTGGGTCAGAGGTTTCGGTGGACCATGTCTTCCCCCAAGCACGCAGCGGACCTGTAGGCGCTCGAGTTTTGCAATGCTTTCATATCTCCATCGTCCTGACACCACTCACACTACACCATCTGCGACTGTGACATCGCGCAGCTTCACAGGCGCTGTGAAGTTGCCGATGTCTGTTCAAGAATCGCAAATGCTCCCGCTCACGCCGTTGGAGAGCGCTCTGCTTGCCGTCGTTCCTTCAACGGCGGCAGGCGGTGCAGGCGCTCGATTGGTCAGGTGATCCGGAGGCGGCAGGTTGTCTGCCACTTGCTGCTGGGCTGGTCGGGGTAAAGGCGAAAAAGTCGTGGTCGGCATAGTCGGCTGTGGGAATTCAAAGGGTGCAGGCGGCTCCTCATCCTGCCCTTCCAGCAAAGTGAGCCTTCTGGCTCGCACTTGCTCAGGAGTGGGCAAGGCTGAGAGATCTTTGGACCACTTAAAGAAGTCCTCCGCCAACTCCATAGCGCGTGCGGCATCATCTTCCTCATACTCGTGGGCGGGCAAGGTCCCTTCTGTACACGCATTCGGATACCTCGCTGCCAAGTACGCGCGCTTGAACCAGATCATGTCCTCTTGGGAGCCTGGCATCACCTCGATGGCCTCTTTCTGCGCCTCGGTGCTTGGAGTCGCCCTAAGCAGTCGGGCATGGAAGCTTGCCAAATCATGCGAGGTCGCCCCTGTTAGTTCTTCCGGGGTGAGGCCGCAGGTACGCAGCATGGCGCTCTTCAGCGACATCTCAACGACCTGCTGTCCATGAAATACCACGGGTGAATGGAGAGCGGGGTTTGTGCGCAGCGTCTGCATGGTGAGGAGCCCATATTCTGCCTGCTGTAGCCAGTCGGCAGCAGCTTGTGGGTCTACTTTCCTTGGCTCACATGGCAGGGGGGGGGGGGAGGGTTCCCAAGATTAGGGGTCCGTTTAGGGGGATCTGATAAAGAGGATTACGCTAGAATGTCGGTGAAAATTTGAAGGACCTTTATACAGGCTCGACATGTCCCTTGGCTTGCATCGAGAGAAATCTAGGCCACTCTTTGCCACTAAGGCTCCAAGGAGGCGACCAGGCCGGCTGCGGTACGAATGTCGTCTGATGGGTATGGTTCCTTTCGGAGCGCGCTACTTCCCTCTGAGCGCGCTCCGCCTCGAACTCGTCAAACCAGGAGGCCTGAATGGGGCTCAATGATGCCCCGACACCCTTCTAAACCCTTGACACACCGTCATGACTCCAATGACCCGCCTGGGCTGATCTCTCGCTGCGGGGCTGCCGGGCACCAGGATCCTGCACGAAAGGACAAGCTGAGGAGCTTTATTCCTCGATCTCACTGGGCTGAGAAGATCCACGAACTCAGACCTGACCTATGTGCAATGCTACATGGGCGCCTGTCCTGTGTCGGGATTGGATCAGGCTCGTGCTGGTGACCGGCACTCGGAACACCGTACTCATCAAGCCAGGAGTCGTCTCCTGGCTGGCCGTCTCGATACCAATCACCATGCCTCTTGATCATCCGGAACATCATATTGGCAAAGGCGGTGTTCCCTGCCCTGTCCGGATGCCATGTCAAGAAAAGTCGGCGCAAACCATGCCTGTAATCATCTGGGCCAAGCACTGACATTTGTCGGAGCTGGTGTTTCACCAGCTCCAGCTCGCGCAAATGTTGGGCTTCTCCAAGTAGGACATCGCTCTCCGCAGCATCTCCAGTCTGAGCACGAGGCTCGGAAGAAACGTGTACGAATTCTGTGCCAAGTCGGCGTTGCCCCTTGATGTTGAAGAGATCCATGTGACGCACATCTCTGACATCTCCAGCGCCTAAGATGACCCTGTATAAGCGCGTCAAGGACTCGGCTAGCACACTCGGAACACTCGATGAGGGTACCCACTCTTGAATCACACCGAGGTAGTACCTGTCCTGGATGCGGACGGCCACGTAGCAATGAGCTTCGAAACCTTGGCTCATGGACTGCACGAGCTCATCGACGACCTCATCAGGAAGCAAGTCGCCTGGCCTGGGCTGCACCGAACCGGTTTCAGGAAGATCCGAGTGAATACCCAGCTTCTGCAAGGCTGCACAGAGAGCCTGTGGTCCTCCAGCAAGCGAACATTGCATGACAGATCTCAGTGCAAGGGTGCCCAACTCCGTTCTCGTAACTTCGGAAAGACGAGGAATGGCTCGACAAACGGTGGAAGTTAGACCCTGCAAAGTCATCTCATCATTCACAGAACTGAACGCTGCTTCACTGACCACAAGGGTCTGCTGCTGCACATCGAAGCAGGCAACCACATCTCTGCGGCTGCCAGGAATGATTTGCCCTTCCATAGGCGTGGCCTTGCGCACCAAGTCTGTCGCAATCAGAGGAACCACTGCCAGAACTTGAAGCCTGTTCAAGCCGTCTTGGACAGCAGCCACGAACTCGGCAAGTCCTGCATCACTGTCACTCTCATGTTGATGTCGCCAGATTGCCTGGCGCGACCAGCAGCAGGAAATCAGGAAAGCAAACTAGAGGTCGGTGCCCCATCGTCGGTACGAAATTAGAAAAAGGCACAGGACTCGTAGAAGCGGAGACCACCCTGCCTCCAATGCTTTCATGAGCTCTTGGGACTTCAGAAACAGCTCCAAGCATTCCTGCCAGCCGGTTGGCGTGAGCGGACATGCAACGCACGCTCAAATATTGCATGATTATGAGCTTGCTCGCGTGCATGGACTTGTAAGCCCTGGGCGCGGCCCAAAACCCCTAACCCTTCACAGCCGTGCGGAGGGTGCTGAAAATTGCAAGAATCCAAATCTAAAGAGGGCTCGTGGTCTACATCAACCCGCTCCAAACCGCTGCTGTGAGTGCGCACAAGCAGAATTTGTTCAGACCACGTTTGCGTCCACTGCCCGATTTCCAAAGCGGGCATCCCTCTTTTTTCTTCCCTCCACATGCCATGTTTTCACAGCTACACAACATTGTCTACTTCTGCTTTATGACCTGCTGATGCGGCGTCGACGCCCACAATCGTTACTCTCGAACATCTCTTCGACACAAGGAACCCCTAAACCTTACAAGGCAATGCTGAAGCTGGGCAGTGATTCCCAAACCCCCCAGTTCACAATTGCCCTAAACCCTAAACCCTACACCCTAAAAGTGATGCTCATCAACGCCCCATGTGAAATTAGGCTCAAGGGCTTTGGAGGCAGCCTGCCTTGGTGCTTGCAGCGGTCGGGCTGTCAGGAAGCAACGGCATCTCCATTACCTTGGACAGGTTGAGGGTTTAGAGCTAGGGCGTGCAGTGTGAACGCTACGACAAGGACACAAGGAGACTGAGACACAGAACGAACCACACGAATCACAAGAAGCTTCCTCGAAGCCTGCCGACGGAGTTAGATGCAGCTGCGTCACGACATCTGAGAGGCGCTGGAGCCCGGCTCGGTCGGCCAGCATTCCCAGAATCTCTCTTGCAAGCAGGGACGCTGACTTCCCACGGCCACTGAGCCTCCGCAAGAAGAATGGCCTTTCCAAGGCGAATGTGGTGCTGCAGAAATCAATCCCAGCAGACTGACATCTTTCTTCCCACTCAGGGACGTCTGCCCAGCAAAGCTGGGATGCTGGACACAGAACTGGTTCACTGCCCTGTCGCCGAATGTACAGCTCCTGTATCGAGGACCTGTCTGCATCTGCCGGCAGAGACTCGCACCATGCGCGGAGGCATGACGCCAGAAGACGATCGTGGAGCCAGAGGTTGGTCGTACAAGTAGCAGCGTCCACCTGCTTGGCAACTTCAGCGGTCACGTACGCAAAGTCCTCCTGCGTTGGTTCGTTCCGCACTCCCAGCTTGGCATAGAGGCTGTCAAAGTCGCCAACCGCTTGGAGGAGAAGTCGGTTGAACTCCCAATAGGCAAAGCGACCAGAGAAGCATCTCCTGTGGGCTGTATGGTGTCACACTACTTGCTACGGCTGCTAAGCTATGAACCATCAAGAAGTCGTGATGGCAACCTGGGCAAGGCTCCTGGGCTTGAACAAGTGGCGAGCCTCTTCTTCTGGAAGGTTCGCCGCATCGTGAAATGTCACGGTGACGCAGTGAGCCTCGTCCAGGAGGCCCAGGTCGAGCGAAGGATTCTTCTGCAACTCCTTGGAGACTAGATCCCTGCAAGCATTGAGCTGAGCCCACATGGCACTGGTGCTATTCACGACATACTCGCCGTCGGCAGGCGCCAGTGAACGCAGGTTGCGGAGGTGCTGTAGCACCAGGTCTGTGGGAGCGTGGTCCTCTTGCACGACAGCTCCCAGATTGCTGAACATCCATTCTGCGTGATGCTGCATGAGGTGGTGAAGCTGCATCCCCTCGTGGCAAGCCGAAGGCTGCACGCTCCACAGCACAGCCTTGCAAAGAGGTCTCTCTGAAAACGAACTGCTTCGAGGGAGGTGGGAGGGGGGCGAGTGCTCTCACAGCCTTGCGCAACTTGCCCAAACTACAGCACCAGGTCCAGATGATACTTCTTGTCCCAGCTGGCCTGTGCCGTGGCGAAGGCGGCGCCGTCAAAGCTGCCCAGCTCAAGCGCTGCTTCCTGCCTGAAGGCCATCTGGCTTTGGTCCAACAGCAGCTGGCACTGCTGTCGAATGTCAGCATCGGGGCACAGAGTGCGAACAAGCAGAATCCTCCTCTTTGCAATCTCGACAAGGGGCGCCATCAAGCTGGGCTGGGACGGCTGCGACAGCTCTAGAGAAATCGCACGGCAAAGAGCCTCCACCAAATGGTGCGACATCTCCTGCACCCTCTTGTCGATCTGCCCTCCAGCAAGCTGCTCCAAATGTCGTCCACAGGCGTGCAAGACACCGGTGCTTGGAGCCGTGCTCAGGCCGAGTCTTCTCAGAACTTCAACTTTACGGGCATCGGCCTCAGGGGCTGCGGGAGAGGTCACAAAGGAAGTTTCACCAAAGAGCTCACAAGGCTGCTTCAAAGAAGGGTGGGGCGAACTGTGTTTGTAGCACATGAGACCCTACAGCAAAAGCAAAATGCCTCGGCTCTCACAAGACTGAGGCATTCACCTGAAGGTCACTCCTGGGCAGGTGCTCAAGCAGGACATGCTCGAAGCAGCCTGCAAGTGGCGATTTCTGCCAGTCCAAGATGTCTTCGGGCTTCCGAAGCGGGCCCGATCGGGTGCCGACAAAAGCACTTTTTTTGCACTCCTCAATCAAACTGGCCATCTCCAGCTGCACGACGAACTTGTGCAAAGCATCCCACGCTCTCTCTGAACTCGGGCCGACGATGAGCTCAGGAAGCACTGGAAGGATGTACTTCCGCACGTACCCCTCAGCATGGTAGAGACTGACTCCACAGTGCTTGTAGATCGGCTCCGTCTGCTGGGTCGGCCACGCGAGGAGCATGGTACCGGCAACAGCCACCGCTTCCACTTCAGCGATGCCCGGGCTCGTGGGTTCTATGCAGCAGTAGTGGGTCGTGCCGCCAAGCGGTGTGAAGGCTGAGCGTGACATGGCCAGCTTGAAGAGCGGCAACTTGCTCACCATCTCTTTGATGGGTTCTTCGCCCTGCATCCACAGGACGGCAAGGAAAGCAAGTAGATCGTGACGGTCTCTTCCACAAAGACGGTCCAGGCCAGACTGGCCCTGCAAGTCCACGAGTCGCTCCAGGAGTTGCCTTGGCTTGGAGATGATCTGGGCGCCCACCATCCAGCTGCACTCAGATTCGGCAAAATCGTGCTGCAGCCAGCAGAAGTCGAGGCGGGCGCAAGCCCCAGAAACTTTGGAAAAATCTGCACTGGGCCATAGGGTCCAGCTGGCATGGGTGCCCAGCGTGGCTAGCTGCGGTCCTGGGGCTCCCAGCACCGGGAAGATTCTCCAATCCCAAACAGCCTCCATAACTCTCCGGGCCCCAATGGCTCGATCTTTGGCTTCGTCATGCATAAGACTCCAAAGATCCTTCAGCAACGTGTTCTCAGCCCACTTTGGTTGGACAGCCATCGCTGCCTCGAGACCTTCTCGGTATTGCCACAGATCCGCAATCCGGAGCCTTCGCAAACTGATGGGCTCGACCTTCACTCTAGTGCGAACATCAGGCAGGGCCAACGGGATGTCCCGGAGCACGTGTAAGGCGTCCTTGTGTACGAAAAGCTCCTGGTTTTGCGGCAGCAGGCCGTGCCCTGACTTGAAGGCTCGGGTCCCAAATGTGCACAGGCGCTCATCCGCAAGCAGAAGCAGCGGCACATTGAGCAGATGATCGCAAGTGTGCACTTCTGGGACGGCTTGCCGCTGAATGCGGCTCTGCCAGTCCTCTTGCTGCACGAAAGCCAGCAACTGCAGAACTTGAGATTTCGCCCCAAGCGCAACAGCCCCTGTCTGGTTGAGGTGCACGCTTGTCTGGTGACCCCTCCGCCGCCACAGATCCTGCAAAAATCTGCAAAGCTGAGCAGCAGAAAGGACCTCCACCTCACACGGGGCCCGGATGGCTCCGTACAATGTCCGAACGTGAGGGGGCAAGTGCACCAGCTGCAGCCCATCAGCTGCAAGACGCGCCTGGAGCGTTTGAGGCAACTTCTCGGGCTCTGCCGTCAGGGTTATGGCGGGCCCCCGAACCCACCTCACCGAAACCTCAGAGGCGACAGTGAAGAAGACCTCTGGAAATATCGCATCGTGCAAGCCCGCCCTCAAGGCATACTCGGCCAAAATCGATGGTGGCTTCCTCGCCGAGCTTGTCCACTCGTCCGGCAAAAGACTGAAGTATGCGTCCAGATCTGCCAAGGTGGCTACCCTGTCCTGGCGGACCAGGAGCAACTCCTTCAAACACCACGCTGCTGGGCCCTGAAGAAGCTTGAGATTCCACCTCTTCTCGGGGCTTTGGTCGGAAGCTTCGGGGAGAGGGAAGTGCTTTCGGGAGGATGTGAAAACGAAGCTCCCGTTGATCCAGGCCGGGGATCCGCTGCGCTCGGGAGTGGGCAAGCCGCAGCAGATGTAGCCATCGCCTTCGGTGCCATGGTCTACATCCGTTCGCACGGCCGCCGATGCGTAGGGCAGTACCGCAAATCCGTGGTCTTGGTTGTAAAACTCTGCTGACAAAAGGCGCAACTCCTCATCGGAACCTGTGGCACGATGTACGATAGCCCACTCCTGCATTTGTTGGCTGCTACCCTCACTGGTCGAGATGGACTTTCTCAGAGACACGCTGACGTCTTCGTCCAGCGCCTGTGCTGGGTGCGCATCTGGTTCTGGCACGAGCCTGCGGAAGAAAGACCTTTGCATCTCCTTGTGAGAAGGGTCTCGGTACTCCACACGATGACGGATGCAGGCTTCAGATGCCAAATCTGTGAAGGTCAGAGACTCCAAAGACTTGCAGAAGAGAAGCATTCCAGCACCGCTGGAGCGCATAACTTCTCCCATCTTCTCTCGTACATCATCTTCACTCACTGCACTTGCCAGAGCTGACGGCCCCTTGCGCAAAGGAAGGCGGAAAATCACTGGAAAGCGTGCGCTAAGCTCTCTGAACGGGAGCCATGTGTCTGGAAAATCCTGCTGCAGATGCTGCACGTTGAACTGCTTCCCCCGCTTCTGTCCTTCATGCGCCACGTAGCCTCGAGTGAGGTCAAAGAAATGCAGGCGCCCATTTGCCAGGAGAAGGGGGCAGTCGGAGTAACGGTACATGACGTTCATACCCACACCAAAGCGGCCGCAAGATAAGAAATCCAGGCGCTTCTCCGATCGGTTGACCTGCTGCATGCGGCGGATGTCTTCGCGGCCCAGCGGCTTGTCGGAGCAGATGTACAAGGCTGCACCCTGCAAGTCGCTGCACCGCCTGTCCACGATCCTTAAGGTTGATCTCATAAACACAAAGCCACTGCGCCGCGCGGCACGTGCCTTCTGAGCTTGCATCAAAGATCACAAAGGTTTCCTGAGAAGCCCGGGCATCTCTCCACAGCCGTATTCTCGGGCATCCAAGAAGAAGTGCAGCTCGCTGGCTCCGAAGTCATCAGAGTTCTGTACAAACTCGGAGACGACATCGCTCTGACGGCCGTAGTCCTTGAGGAGTTGTGCGACTTGACCGACTAGGTCTGGTTCTTGACCTCAGCTTCGACATGGCTTCGTTGTGCATTGGGTTCTACCGAACTCGGAATGGCAGCAAGCAGCTTAGACAAGGGGCCAAAGCCATCAGACTCCAGCTGGTCTGCCTCGCAGCGTTCGGCCAGCTTTGCACGTAAAGACGTGCAGCCAAGGCTTCTGCCAGCTTCCTCAGAGATCCTGCTGTGCAGAAGCTCAACCTCTTCACTGCGCGACCATGGAGCATCATCGATGAAGACCTCCGCGGCTGGAAGCAGCTTGAGAGACTTCGTGGGGACGAAGGCTGGATGAGCGTCAAGCAACTCTGGACTCCTAGAGACTTGCGGCGCAAGCTCTTCACAGAGGGCGCATGCTTCACTGTCACCTCGGGTAGACCTAAGGATCGTGCCACGTCTCTTGCTGCAAGGCCACGGATCTTGCCAGCAACGGGACGCAGCAATTTGCTGCTTTGATTCGGATTCAGAGCCGTATGACCCCACGAGTAGAGCTCGGACTCCATATCCCCATGAGCTGACTCGCATGGCCACAGAACCTCACTCTTCATTCGCTCAGACAGGCCAGCAAGAACGGCCTTGTCCAGCTTTTGGAGGGCTTGGAACACCCTCTCAATGTCTTGAGTCAATCTTTCCGAGGCCGCTCGCGGAAACTGGAACCTTGGCATCGGAGAACCCTGGAAGCAAAGAACACAGACGCATCGATCCGATCATCTAGCAGTGATCAAGCACAGCCTTCTTGCAGCATCTTGCTGTTGACGTAATACCCTCAACTCTCAACCATAGTTGACAATAGTCTAGTCCCTTATTCGGGCTTACAGCAGCGTGTGTTGGGGGGTAGGCGTGCAACGCGGTGGCACATTAGGGTTCCGGGTTGAGGCTTTAGGCTTAAGGTTTAGGAGCCACTGAGCCCTGAGCTGCGTTTCTGCTGAGCGCAAGCTGTCTTCACATGGCGGGGCCGCATGTGTCAACTTGCGAAGCTGCTGGATGAGCACCTTTCTTTTGAGCTCAGGGATCAAGAGGCGTCTATCATGAACCAAGCGGATACGTCAAAGAAACGACATGTGTCTCGATGCAGCAGAAGCACCTGGGGTTCTGCTTCAAGCTTCCGATGGGCCGACACAACTGCCGATGGAGGCAGCGTCTTGTGCATAGTAGGACACACCGCCCCGACCACACCTTGGGACTCGGCAGGGAAAAGCTGCGAAGGCGCCTCCAAACAAGGAGCAGCGGAACCCGGCATCTGCTGTGGATCTTCGAGGCCATGTGCCTTTACCCATTTGATACCTTGAAGCTGCTTCAATGCTGTGGCTCTGTCTCCAAGAAGACATCCACAATTCTCGCTGACGTACTGGAAGAGAACTCTTGACATCTCGATGTCTTTGGTCAGCGCCACATGCTTCGCCTCAAGGACAACGTCCTCCCAAGCCAGGCGATGCTTGAGGCCGCACTGCTGGAGCATCTGCCAGATCTCACGCACCTGCTCAAAGGCCACGAGCTGAAGAAGCATGCGTTGATTTGGGACTGGGCCGTGGAGGGGGATGTCTTCTTCTGACAACCAGCGAGCAGCGATTTCTTTGACATCTGTGGCATCTACATGGGGCCCTTCATGATGCAACGGCGAAGAGAGTTTTTGTCTCTAAAGCACGGGTCCCCCAGCAGAGGAAGAAAGGCTTCATTTCTATTCTGCACCCTCCAATGTTCGATAGAAGTATCAAAGCCCTTCTTCTGCCCTCTCCCGCATGGCAGAAAAGGCTTCAAGTAGTTGGGGAACCGCTGTGGGTGTTAAAGCCTTAAAGCACTTCATGGTCAGTCTACAAGCAAAGCGGCCAAGCACTGTTCATTGCGCTGCCAACAAGGTGCCAGTCAAAAACCATGTGCTAGAAAAACATGTCGCGAACAAAAAACAATGTCAGAAGACGGGGGCCCAAAGATAGAATGTCACAAGACAAAAGGGTCCACAGCAGAAGCCGCCTCCTCAGGTGCGAAATCTGCCAGGTCACCCTCCAAGAAGGCAGCTCGCTTGCTGGCGGCAGCGCTGAAATGGAACAACTCGGCATGTGGATCGAACGCTTCTTGAATGGGCAACAATGTCGAGGATCCCTGGTGCGATGACCCAACAGGAATCCACGAGATGGCAGCTAGCTTCGACTTCAACTCATCCAAGTCATGCTGGCCCAGCGAGGTTCTTGCCCAGTGTAGCAAGGCGAGCAGATACCGACGCAATCGAGGGACTTCGCTCGGAGCTTCTGAAAGATGTTGCAGAACCAAATGCATCAGCCACGGGCACTTCTGTTGGGAGATGGCAGACTGTTGCTCCAAAAGGCTAGTGACATGTTGGGGAGGATCTACAACTCGATACCCCAACTCCAAACACCAGCGCTGCAAGTCACCTCGCAGATGCTGAAGAGGTCGGGTAGGCAGATCCAGCAGGTGAGCCGCCGCCGGAGAAACCAGCTCGCCCTCCACATCCCGGAGAAGGGGCCGCTGCGTGCACTGGCGCGTGAACTCTGCGATGCATGGAAGGACGAGCTCCTGAAAGCGATGTGAAAAACGTTGCTGTGTCTACTCATAGTAAGATCTTCTTACTTATGTGGCTGACTGGTGAAATTTCCTCAGGTTCCTGCCTTGATTGTGTCACCCCTCGGCCACAGGTTGAACACTTCCACATCCCGCAGTTCAGGGCCATAATCTCCAGCGCGTACGGGATCCGACATCAGCCACTCAATGCTGGAAGCATAAAGCCTTGGCACGACGTCCTGCATGATGTGCTCATTCCACACGGCCCAGCTGGCATGATCACCATCCAAATCTTGCGAGTTCCGCCACAGATCGCGGCGGTTGTCCATGAGGCAGAAACCTGCATGAACGTGTAGAGGAAGCCCTGTCTCGATGGGCAACGGCAAGTAGGTGTAGATACTGCCATCTCCGAAGGAGCCATTGAGCGGCATGGCCAGACAGACGAAGGGCACCTCGCTACATTCTTCACGTAGCTCTTGGAAAGGCGCCGCGGGATCAAAGAACTGGCCGAAACGCATCCACACCTGCATCTTTCTGGTATGCCATTCTGACAGCACTCGCAGCAAAGGATGTCGATGGAAGCTAATGGAAGCTAAATTGTGCAAAGCTCTAACTGTGTGTGCAACTGGCCCAAGTGGCCCTTGCCCGCCTGGCTCGACGTGACTGGATCTCCGTCCTTCACCTCCTGGATCTGCACGCGCACGAGGTCATGAACAAAGGGCACCTTACACAGCAGCAACGCAAGCTCGCAGGAGTGGTGTCTTCTGATGAAGGGGCACAATCCCAACCTGCACGAAGTTCAATCCTTAAGTTCCACTAGCTGTAGCTCCAAGGCACTCTCTTCTGCTCTTGGCAAAGCGTCCCCGGTTGAAATGTCGCCGCAAGCGTTTCATGCAAAGCGGACACTTCGCTGAAGTCCTCAAGAAACGTGCGAACCTTTCGCATGTCATTGGGCAGCTCCTGAGCAGATGTTGAGAAGAATTGCTTGCTGAGAATCTTCTCGAATTCAGCTTCGCCATCTTTCCACACACAGAGGTCAACTTGCTGAATGTTGGAGAGGAATAGTGTAAGGTCCCCTCGGGACAGCGATCGCTGAAAGTCTCGAAAAACATGCCACGCCCGATCCGGTGGGAATGCCTTCTGCATGAAGGTCGAGAATCGCGCAAACTCCTCAAGCCGGAAAGGTACCTTGCTGAGGGATGCCCACATGAGTTTACAGAAAAGGGTGTGTCATCAATGGGCACCTTACCTTGTATATGCACCGGCTCAGCTCATTTCCCAAACTGCCCCTCTTTCAAGTTCTGGCCTTCTGGGATGTGTACGTGGACGGGGACAGCTGGGGACAGGTATCGCACTAATTATCAACCGCATTATTTAATCACCACCCTATCACGAGAAGGATGGCAGCAGCAACAATCCCCACATCTGTCAGGGGACCCTGTTATCTTGGGCTTACGACAGCCCTTTTCATCGGCTGTGCCGTGTTTGCGGGATGCGACTTGCAACTGCTGACATGACCGCATCAAGTACGCCCACCATGGCAAGCAAGCTGCCCGAATCAGAGTTCCCTCAAAAGGCGCCTTCATGGTACAACCGAAGAGGCCTACAAAGGGAGAGCATTCGTCTGGAAATGCTTCTGCCAAAGACTTCCGGTCGAACACCTTCTCCACAAAGTTCGTCTGCTCTCCGAAGTTTCCCTCAAGCCTGTTGTCTGGATCCAAAACTGCATAGCACGAACCAGATACAATCTGTATCATATCTCCGATATGAAAGAGAGATCTGGATCCCATGCCGTACTTTCCGACTTGGCTGGGGCTGTGCTTCTTGCCACTGTCATACATGTTCTGCAGGCTTTGCCAATCGCAGTCTCTGAAGCCACCGTTGTCCCAAAAGACAAGCGCGGGCCCGTTTAGCCGCCTGCGCCATTTCCGGCCTCGGCAAGGCAGACTGTTGTGCACTGTGGAGCTGAAGCTCAAAATCCAAACAATTAAACTCTTGTCACTGTGAAGGTGTTGCAGATTGTTTTGCAGTTTTCGGAACTCACGAGGCACCTGCCTTGCGGCCTCACGTTCTCAGCCGAGTGAGTGCGCAGATCCAGCACCGCAGCGAAGCTCGTGGCTCGTCCCGTGTCCTGCATGCCGCTCAAGCTACAGGACTCAGCGCATGGCCAGCGTTGCGCTCACTCTCAGAAGGCACTGGATGTGTGTGGTCCTCGGCGTTTTGCAGAGCTTCCAAAACGAATTGGGCGCCGCTGGGATAATGCTTCAGCAGATTGTTCAGCGCGGCGCTCGGCGAGATCCGCAGGCCAAAGATGGCCTGTCCAGCACTCGAGCACATGTGGCATGTATGTCGTCACGAGAGAGACGCTGAATCACGGCCCAGGGCATCAGCCCCGAGACCTGGTTCCGCGAAACTGGGAATCGCTTAGGGTTGAGAGGGTTTAAGAGGATTAGGGCAAGTTTAGGTTTTAAAGGGTTTAGGGTATGAACTGATCCCAACCCCCAAGGGCAGGCAAGCCTGCATCTGACCCTCCAGGTGTAGTTTCCAGCGATTGTGTCCTCGGCTGTCCTCGGCATGACAACCTTCATTCATGCTCACAGTAGTGCTCAGGGAAGACAAAAGAGTCCCCTTAGTCATGTTTGTTGGCTGTGCAGAAAGGTGGTGTCTGTGGCGAATAGCCAAATTCGAGCGGACTCTTCAGCTTACTCGAGCTATTCGTTCCGTGAGCTGTGCACTTTTGTCGCTGTCGTGAGCTTCACTCTTGATGTTCGGCATCACGCTACACGAAGAAAACAAGAGCGAGCATGAGCGCGCGAGCGAAAAAACACTAAATGCAAGGAGGCTCTGGAGATGCTGCTGCGTCCAGCACTTCGGGACCTGCGGGTCAGCATTGTAAAAAACACTGGCAGCGGAGTCACGGAACCCTAACTAAGATACCGCAATAGTTACAATAATAAGAACCAGCATAAGGAAATGGATAAGAGTAAGAATATGGATAAGAAAAAGGGTTTATAGCCACCGAGAGGGTTTCCTTAACATGGACGAGAACGCTTAAGGCCCCAAACCCCCAAGCATCGGACTGCATGGCTGCCTGTCTCCCAATGATAGTGGCGAGCCGCGCCGTGGTGGGGGTGACTTTGCTTCTATGCTCTGAGCCCGCCCATGCGGAGTCGAAATATTTACGTAGCTTCACGACGTTTCCAGACAACGCGAGTCTGGCATTTCTGGCGCACACGCATGATTTTCCTCTGGCAGCTCTGTCCGCGATCAGTGCATGTCTGGCTTTTGCATGGCCATGGATCTGTACATCTGGCCAGGTTTCCTGTGCAATACAACATTATCCAAACCTGATTTGACAGATTTGAACCTGGCAGATCTGCTAAGACAACCCGGCTTTTGCCTCATGTGAACCTGCCATCTGCCTTTCATGCCGCTGACCACTGCCATCCTCGCCATGACTAGGTGGACTCAAGGCCTCCCGGGACCAGGGCTTTCGACACACAATTCTGTGTTCAGAGGGCGTGCCGTAGGGCAACTTGGGATATAGTAGCTTTTCCTCACAAAAAGAACGACAACTTCGCCTTCGCCGCATCCTTCTCCAAGAGCTCTGTGTTCATGGCCAGGCGAGGGCCGTCCGACCTCGGAAACCAGAGCGGATCGCCAAATCCCCAGGGTCTGCGTGGCTTGCAAGCGTCCATGAAACTTCCATGCATCCCCGTGCTCGTGCCATTTAACATGAGGCCGTGGCCTCCTCTGTCTTGAATGTCCTGAGGACAACGGCACAAGAGCAGGTTCTGCAGCATGCACGGAAAGCTGCCTCAGCCTTTCTGCGAGTGCAGCTAGAGACAAGCTCAAGTCCCCGAAGCTTCAACAAAAAGAAATGTGGTGGCCAGGTGGCCAGGCAACGCTCCATTCGCTCCACTCTCCCACGCAGCGCCCTGTCGCCCACACGGCTTGGAGTTTGTCATCCGAAAGTGGCACGTCCATTGCTTTCCGCGCAGTCTGACAAAGCGGCCTTTCTCTTGGCATTTCGGTGCTTCACCGCTGAGAATGCGAAGCCGAAACGTCAGATTGTGAACCTCCCCGCATGGAGGCGTCTTTCAAACGCTGTGGTTCAATCTTCTGTCGAGGCATGGCGCGTCTCCTCGCATGTCTTGGAGAGCGACAGCACCCCCAGGCGCAAGGTCAGGTGCAAAGAGCGGAGACTCCAGATGCACCCGTGCAGTGTTTTCGTCGTGTTGGGCCGCTTTCCGATTTCCGGCCAGAGAGCAATATGCGCATTTCAAGATTGGTATGGAAAGGAGGCTCAAGATGGCTCAAGATGGATGATGGCCCTCGACCCGACCTAAAGCAACCCTTGTAAGCCCTGCCCCGCCTTCTCCGCGCCCTTCTCCAGCAGCTGCTTAATGCAGTCTGTGCGGCCACCCCAGGCTGCATAAATGAGGCTGGTGAAGCCTCATTTGCCCCTCAGGAAAAAGCATCCCGTGGTTCATGATCAAGGGGGTCGACAGAGAGTCACGTCAATACTTTTGCATACTTTTGCATACTCCTGGATTCCCCTCGCCTGTTGCGAACTCGTGACATGCCTCTATATTCACTTTACTTACTTGCAGAAATGTCACAGATCTTTGCAGCACCGGTCGAAGCCGTGCAAGGCATTTGAAAATCTGAGCCTGCGGCCTAGGCTGTCTTGGACGTCCTGAGGGCAGCTCTGGTTTGTTAGAGTTTCCCCCTCGGTTGCCCCTCGTGTGTCAGTGCCCCGCTCGGCGATGGTGGGTTCGAAAGGGCTAGTCTTGGATTCCTTCGTCTCCCTCGACTACTGAATATGTATGGCTGAAAATATATTGTTCAGGAAGATTTCCAAACAGAGCCGGCTCGCAACGCCACGACTCGCTGCTTTCGTCTTACTCAGAAGAATTCAAAAGAAACGGCCCGAAACGGAATCTGGGGTTTGGGTTCACATAGCGCTCAGGCTTCTCCACCCACATTAGCTCCGCCCCCTTAACTTTGGATCAAATGCAAGAAACAACTTAACTATCAAACAGATTTGCTGAGTACAAGGCCGTCCCAGTACCCGCCGTTCCTCCAAAGTAGCGACGAGCAAAAAAATCTTGCGGAACCGCAGAGCCCTTGGACGTCTCTCAGCACCATCCCCTTTACTCCAAGAGCTCTTTCACCCATCCCGCATGGCCGTCCCTGGCCAATGATCCCAGTCACGCACGATCCAGCCTGTCGATTCCTAGTAGCTTTCCACTGCTTTCTCTTGCTTGCAATGCCAAGTTACTTTCAATCGACAAGTAGACGTCCACAATCCCTCGGTGCGGAGCCCCTCTTGTGGAGAAAAATCTAGATTGCAGTATCAGTATACTTTGTTAAACTACATTGCGCTAGTGCCATTGCATTGCGCTGCGTTACCTCAATAAATTGGCCTACACAATCCTGCAGATTCGCCGCCTCTCAGGATCCTGTGCACGGCCGGGGGCGAGGAGCTTCCGGCGCTTCTCTGCCCGCCAGGAACATCATGATCATGGCGTGGTCGCTTCTTATTTGAGGCATCGAAGGCCAAGAGCAAGAGCATGAGGGGCATTGGGGCTTCAGCTACGCCTCCCAACAGCAGGAACATCATGAGCATCATGGCCTTGTCGTTTTTCATTTGAGGCATTGAAGGCCAAAGGCAGCAGCATGAGGGGCATTCGGGCTTCAGCTACGCCTCCCAACAGCAGGAACATCATGAGCATCATGGCCTTGTCGTTTCTCATTTGAGGCATCGAAGGCCAAAAGCAGAAGCATGAGGGGCATTGGGGCTTCCGCCAGGAACATCATGAGCATCATGGCCTTGCCGTTTCTCATTTGAGGCATCGAAGGCCAAAAGCAGAAGCATGAGGGGCATTGGGGCTTCAGCTACGCCTCCCAACAGCAGGAACATCATGAGCATCATGGCCTTGCCGTTTCTCATTTGAGGCATCGAAGGCCAAAAGCAGGAGCATGAGGGGCATTGGGGCTTCAGCTACGCCTCCCAACGGCAGGAACATCATGAGCATCATGGCCTTCGCTTCTCATTTGAGGCATCGAAAGGCCAAAAGCAGGAGCATGAGGGGCATTGGGGCTTCAGCTATGCCTCCCAACAGCAAGAACATCATGAGCATCATGGCCTTGTCGTTTCTCATTTGAGGCATCGAAGGCCAAAAGCAGGAGCATGAGGGGCATTGGGGCTTCAGCTACGCCTCCCAACAACAGGAACATCATGAGCATCATGGCCTTGTCGTTTCTCATTTGAGGCATCGAAGGCCAAAAGCAGGAGCATGAGGGGCATTGGGGCTTCAGCTACGCCTCCCAACAACAGGAACATCATGAGCATCATGGCCTTGTCGTTTCTCATTTGAGGCATCGAAGGCCAAAAGCAGGAGCATGAGGGGCATTGGGGCTTCAGCTACGCCTTCCAACAGCAGGAACATCATGAGCATCATGGCCTTGTCGTTTCTCTTTTGAGGCATCGAAAGGCCAAAAGCAGGAGCATGAGGGGCATTGGGGCTTCAGCTACGCCTCCCAACAGCAGGAACATCATGAGCATCATGGCCTTGTCGTTTCTCATTTGAGGCATCGAAGGCCAAAAGCAGGAGCATGAGGGGCATTGGGGCTTCAGCTACGCCTTCCAACAGCAGGAACATCATGAGCATCATGGCCTTGTCGTTTCTCTTTTGAGGCATCGAAAGGCCAAAAGCAGGAGCATGAGGGGCATTGGGGCTTCAGCTACGCCTCCCAACAGCAGGAACATCATGATCATGGCGTGGTCGTTTCTTATTTGAGGCATCGAAAGGCCAAAAGCAGGAGCATGAGGGGCATTGGGGCTTCAGCTACGCCTCCCAACAGCAGGAACATCATGATCATGGCGTGGTCGTTTCTTATTTGAGGCATCGAAGGCCAAAAGCAGGAGCATGAGGGGCATTGGGGCTTCAGCTACGCCTCCCCAACAGCAGCAACCTCCTGAGCATCGACCAAGAACATGAGCATGAGGCGCATTGGAACCAGCTACACCTCCCAACAGCAGGAACATCATAAGCAAAAGGGTCTTGTCGTTTTTCATTCACGGCACTCGAAAGCCAGCAGGAAGCACGAGGGGCATTGTGGCTTCAGCTA